AACAAGTACTGGGTTAGAGTCAAAATGGTAAAAGAATTACCTATAATGTGCAAGGCCCTGAGTTTCATCCCCTATATCACAAAAGCAAATATATTTCGATCTTATTTACTACTAATAAAACCCACTACAAAACTGAGTGAAACCCTCTTAACTGAAAGGAAGAAACTGGAACAGGTAACTGTGGTTTTGTCTTTCATGGCACTAATATTTAAAAAATCTAAACCTCTTGAATATTTAAAGACTTGCAGTCACCCAAAGAATAGACTCCTTTACAACAGGGTTAGTACTCAGGAAGTTCCATATGATATCTAGGCAATGAATGGGTTGTCTATGACAATGTTATGAGCTTCCATGTCAAGGTAAGATGACTTCCTTCAGTGTGCTGAGGCTCTGGTCATGCATGTAAGGGGGGAAATCGACTCTTGTCCTCTATCCTTAAACAGGCTCAGTGACTTAAAGAGAATGTCTTAGGAGGTGCTATGGTTGGGGCTATTGATATGGATGCCTTCAGTGGCTATTTCTGTGATGACAGTCTCCCTCTAACCTCGACTCTGACGAAATACCTCTAAGTATACAGTGCAAGTGAGGGACATCAGAGCCATGTCCATGGGACATAAATGTCTATTCATTAACTCAAGGGCAGCCTTGATATGTATATTGCCCAGGGAGACTGTTCTCCCTTCATCTCACTGCCCTTGCCCAAGTGATGGACGACCACTGATCTTCCCCAACAACTCAATTTTGATGCCAGAAATTATATGGTCATTGGGAAAGCAGGCCTACCTGGGGGCAGTTTCTAGGCTACCTGAGTCTTAAAGGTATGTATGACTCTTTCAAAATGATGCTGACTTTCACTGTAGTAATCTACTTTAGAACCTATGAAAGCTTTCTTCAAAGCTACACTAACCCCTCACCTGAAGAATTACCAAGAAGCCCTCACCAGTGTTCTCTACTCTATCATTCAGGAGATGAACCAATGACTTAAACTTATTATTCCATATTTTCTTAGATTTATTTATTCTCTATATGCAGATCCTACAAAAATATTTTTTACAATACACTGTGTGCCCAGTATGTATAAAGATGTCGTGAATGACTTAGGTGGATAAAAGAAACTTTTTATTTAAAGCCAGGGTAGAGGCTGGCATAATATGATAGTGTTTCTTGATCCCATCTTAAAAGATACTGGAGTTATCTTTTGTTTTACATGTGAGACTCTAGAGCATATTGCAGCCCCACTATGGGCCACCACACCTACAGATCTCTTCACCTCTAGAAGTGACCACAGCATCATCAAGCTCACCAGCCTACTCTGTGCTGTGTGTTTCAGGCTGTGTTGCTTCCGCTGTCCAGAGAGAGCCAGGAATGATTCCTTCAGAGAATGGAAGCAGTCATGAAAGCAGGCTCTCTGGGACAATGGGTCCTTCACCAGTACCCCAGGGTAAATCACAGAAATGTCTTCCAGTGCCTTAGTGGAGTCACATATTAGCAGACATGCCAGGCAGAGGGTGTTTGAACACCAGCTTCTAATTGCTGTACCTATACCTGATCTGCCACCTGTCCTCGGGGCTCTCAAAAGTCTGTTACTCCTGGCAAAAGCCATCTTGCTTCTACCTGAAGTTCTGAAATAAAATCTGTAGGCAGAGCATGTGTGTCTTTGGTTTCTGCAATTTTGGTGGAAACCTTTCCCCAGCGTATAAGTAACAGCTGTGCATGAGGGGAGTGTGGTCGAAGAGAGTGTGCGGGGGCCAAGTGGTGGGGCCAGCTGTCCTACAGTCCTCTGTAGGGCTGGGTACATTGTCATGACTGTCAAGACTGTGAACAGGAACTTTCACATATTTGGCACATTGATCAGGTTGAGGGCATTTATAGGACATGTCAGCAGCCGAGACCATTCTCAAGAAGGCACCACATTGACTCCCGAACTACAGAACGCAGGCAGTGCTGATGAAAGTCCCTCAAGAGTCCAAAATGATACATAAAGTGAACACTAATGATATGTTCAGTACTAGGCTTAAAGCTGTGGAAATTGCATCTTCACATTCTACCAGAACAATTAGCATGAAAATAGGTCTCAATAATTTTTTTACATTCAGTTATTTGTATGTGAGAAAGATTGTGCATGTGCCATAGCATGAATATGAGGTCAGAGAGCAACTTTCTGAGGGCAGCTCCAGCTCAGGGCACCAGGCATAATGCCATAATGTCAAGCGTTTTTACTCAGCAAGCTGTTTCACCAGCACTCAATAAATGTTTTTAATGAATTAAGTGCTTACTGTTGCTATGGCAGGTGTTTCTGTTCTATTTGCCTTTGGCTTATAAGATGTGCTCTCACTGTGCTGGCCTTTGGAGTAGCTGAGATTGCTAGGCTCGGCCCCAGTGCTCAATTATGATCATAGTTTTGGATCAATCAGCTTTATCATGAAATAAAGTGTTCCTTCATGTGAAAAAAAAAAGTGGACCACTTTGTTTTTCTCCTATTTTAGGTATTAATCATATAAACAGTTGTTCGCTGGTCATCTACTAGGAGCGGGAATAGGGTGCTCTGCTCTGGAAAAACAATGTCCCTTTGCAATTTCTTAGGTATTCCAGGCATGTTTCCACCTCAAGGCCTTTGCACAAACTAAAGCACTCTCTCCTAGGATTTCCATGTGATTTTCTCTATACTTAGACCTTTTCCTGAAAGTGCCTTCTCATTATGGCCTTTTATGGCTACTTCATCTAGAGGCTGGAAATCCCTTTTATATCTTTCTTCTTTCTCTCTGGCATTCAAGCAAGTCTAGAATTGGGGACTTAGCAAAGCTGTTTCATCCTTCTATATACTTTTTCTCAACTCCTGTCTTCTCCAGTAGGACATTGATTCCCTGGATCTGGGGTTCTCCACCTATTTCAAATCCAAAGCCTGCATTCTAAATGCACAGCTAACATAATCTGATTTCACATAATCTCAGATCAATATAATGCTATAACTATAATGTAAAATAGAAAACCATTTTCTAATATTATGTCCTGTGTATCAGTGAGCAAAGGCTGAACTACAACAACTTAAAACGACAAGGAGTTAGGTTCTTGCCTCATGTGTGGTATAGTGAGTATGTCTAGGATTAAAAAGTTCAAAGGTCATTGCTGAGTGGCTTAAGAACATCAGATAGCAGACTTATAAGTGAAATCAGGACAAAGAACAGTATTGACAAAATTAATGGTACTTCAGTCTTTCTAATTTTTGATAATAGGAAGAAGTAAATAGCTTCAGTTTAAATGTGGATAATATCTACATTTTGATCCATTAAGTAAAAAAATGTGAATTGTCAACCTTAGGTTTTCCATTGGTGCAATGAAATACCATTATCAAAAAACAAGTTGGTGAGAAAAGGATTTAATTGACTTACATTTCCATATCACTGTTAATCTTTGAAGGAAGTTAGCACAGGAACTCAAACAGGGCAGGAATCTGGAGGCAGGAGCTGATAAAGAGGCCATGGAGGGGTGCTGCTTACTGGCTTGCTCCTCATGTCTTGCTCAGCCTGCTTTCTTATAGAACCCAGGACCACCACCACAGGGATGGCATCACCCTAACAATCACCAATTAAGAAAATATCTTACAGTCCTGCCTATGGAATGTTCTGATGGAGTCATTTTCTTAATTGAGGTTCCCTCTTCTCAAATGACTTTAGCTTGTGTCAAGTTGACATAAAACTGTCCAGCACAATTGACACCTTGTCAATTTGACACAAAACACATCATCTTTAAGCCACAACCTTTCTTTTCTCATTATCCCCAAGATCTCACATTAAAAGTATGAATAGCTTTAAAAATCCCACAGCTTTTACAAATTTAAACACATTAAAAGTTCAATCTCTTTAAAATAGCCAATCTTTTTTTAAAAATTCAAAGTCACTCAACTGTGAGCTCCTATAAAATCAAAACTAAATTAAATACTTTCTAACTTCAAGAGGGAAGAACCAGAACAAAAACACATGCCAAAAATGTAAATAACACAATGTCCAATGTCTGGGATTCACTCGTGATTTTCTGGGCTCCTCCAAGAGGCTTGGGTCACTTCTCTAGCTAGCTCTGCCCTGTGAAACACACACACACACACACACACACACACACACACACACACACACACACACACACACAGCTTGTCTTCTAGGCTCTTGGTGATCACCCCATGGTACTGGTGTCTCCAAACTGCTGAAGACTTCTGCTACAACTGGATGCACTTTCTCCCAATAGCCTCTCATAGGCTATCGTCATGGTGCCAAACTTCGATTTCTCTGCATAACCCCTTTCATCCTGGGCCTTCAACTGTCACTGAGGCTGTCACCAATGGCCTCTCCTGGACTCTCACATTGCCCAGCATCAGCTGCTCTCCATGTCTTCAAAAACAGTACAACCTAACTGGCTCTGACAGTACCAAGTTTAGCTGCCAGGTACAACCTTGGCCACCTCTGGAACATAGTTTCTGTGTGCTGACTCTGAGGAAACACTTCCCAGAAGATTTCATATTAAAGATGCTAAACATCCTATATCTTGACTTCAACTTAACATTCTTTGTTAGTTTGAACTGAGGTTTTCTTATCTTTGGGTGGGGATTTCCTGCTCTGCTGAAAAAGGTAACTCTAGTGAATCACATGTATCTCTGTGAGTGCACACTTTCAAACACACACTTGATAGTGTGTTTCTGAGGGCATCAATCTTGCTATTTCAGCCAGGTGACCAGGCCCAACCGCAGTAAACTAAAGAAAGTCACCAGTGACTTCTCTCCCCTTTCCTATTTTGACATGATGCCTTACTATGTTGGTAGATGAAGACTATGGAAACATCACCATCTGGTGGTCAGTGCTAGGAAGCTCAATGCTGTCTACTCGCCTGGAATCAATTCCCAACTTCTTTCTTTCTTTCTTTTTTTTTTTTTTTTTTTTGGTTTTTCGAGACAGGGTTTCTCTGTGTAGCTTTGCGCCTTTCCTGGAACTCGCTTTATAGACTGGGCTGGCCTCGAACTCACAGAGATACGCCTGCCTCTGCCTCCCAAGTGCTGGGATTAAAGGCGTGTGCCACCACCGCCCGGCCCCATCTTCTTTCTTAGGAGGGGTTATCTTGGAAAAGCTGGAAGGATAAATAGGGGGAAAGGAGTGTCACAACCTTGAAATGCACCAAAAACAACTAAGCAGAAAGGAAACACCAACTAAGGTCAAGAAAGGAGGTGGTCTATTTTTAATACAGCAAAGTGATATTCTCTAGTTTTTGCTAACATGCTCACATTCATGAAGCTATGTATCTCCTGCATTGTCTTCTGAAGCCTGGATCAGGCAGGCCTAATCTTAGTGTAAAAGACAGGGACTTTTTAACAGTGAGCTAAGCCAAGGAATAGATGGCCCTTTTAGCATATCCCTACAGGGGTGCTTGGGAACTTTGCTAAGAGGACCACCTACAAAGCAGACACAGGAGTGGGGTTTAAAAGGGGCAGTAGTCCTTAAGGTCAGTGCATGGACAGCAGGGATTGAAGAAGGCATTTGAAGATAGGTGAGACCTGTGAGCCTATAATATACCCAGAGACCTGAAAAACCTCAGGCCTTATGAAGAGCCAGGAAGGTAAAGACTGAACTTCAGGGCCTTCTCCCCTGACACTTACTTTGTCTGTGAACTCTTTCTGCATGAGAAGTTACTGCCAAATCTGAACTAAAATCTCTTGTATAGTGTGCATGCCTGAACTGTGACGAGGTTGTCTAATAACAGATTTTAATCTCCTTCCTTCCATTAAGTGGAATGTCAAGCCAAGATTATTTCTTGCTCCTTCATCTTCACTCCAGTATCTTCAGGACATGGGCTTCAAACAAAACGCCAGAGTCTGACATACAGAGTGGGTCAGAGCTGTAGTCCCTGTGCCCAGGAGTGAAGGCAGGAAGATAAAGAGCTCTAGGCTAGTCTAGGCTACCCAAGCAATAGCCTACCAATAAAAGGACTAAAAAGAGGAAAGAAAAGAATGACCTCAGTAAGTTGTTCACTTTTCACTGGCTCTATACACAGCAGCTCAGCTGCTGGCAGCGTACTACTGATGAACAAGTGGGTGATTTTTTTGGAAGTCCAGGTAGAGTGGTTGGTAATGAGCTGGAGAATGTTCATAAACATTTGCCTGGGTTTACTCACCTGTGGGAACTTTGTTTAAACACAGGATGTGGGCTGAGATCTTCTTCCTTTCTATTTCTTAGGGTGGAGGTTTGGCACTGCATGTGTCTTTGATCTGCTCCTGAAGCTTGATCATGGAGGGGCTGTGAGATCTTCAAAGTTGAAACTTGAAGGAGAAAGTAAAAGAGGAGGATGTAAGCACAAGCTAGTCATGAGACAAAAGCTCTCTTAGGGACTCATGTTATAGAAGACAGGCTGGACACCAAGGAGATCAGAGATGAGATCATTCTTCATTCACCATGGAGCTGCCCGAACTTCTTTGCAAGACAGAGTATATCAAGGTTTTGATGAATTGAACACAATAAGAGTACCTATCCGATGGAACTACTTGCAAGGATGAAATGTAACAATGTATGAAAAGTACCTAGCATATTGCTAAACTCAAATTATGCACTCAATAAGTGTATATTGTTTTCCAATTATTTTCTGGATTCTGTTTTCTATTACATTGAAAAGACAGGAAAGTTGGGTGTAGTGGGTCACACCTATAATTCCAGGGTTTTCTAGAAACAGATTCACAAGGATCAGGAGTTCAAGGTCACTCACCCTTGGCTACATAGTAAGTTCAATGACAGTCTGGGTTATATGAAATATTGTCTCAAATTTTAAAAAGAAAAGGGAAAATGGTGGAACATGTATTATAAGGAACTGAATCCTGTAGTATTAAGGCTTACCATTTAGGGAGTCACAGTCTCTTGCCTGACCTTTTCTTTTCTCTAGATTCAGAATAGCTAGACTGGTCTGGAGCTGCCACAGCCCAGACAGGAACCATGCCCTGTGACACAGGCTGTGTTCTTCGGAAGCAGATATAGTCAGAGTGTGGGCACCAGCTGTTTATCAGAAATTGTCACTTGTGAAGGAAGCACAGAGACAGGACAGGAGGTTGCTTTCTGATGTAGCCTTGAGAAGTTCAGCCTGCTGGATGGAAGCTTTCCAAAGTTTCCTCCCAAGCATAATCTTTCCCTACTTAGAATTGTGGAACCAATGACAAGGCCAATTGAGCAGTGAAGGGCACATTTATTCTTGGCCAGGAATAGAAGTGGGAAAAAAAACTCACAAGTCAACTTCAGCTCTCTTTGTGGGGTGGGAGGTTATCAAATAAAAGCAATGAAGTGGGATGATGTGCTGATAAAGGAAAGGAGTATTCTCTTTTGATGGGGGAGGGTGGTCGTGTTGTAGAATATTATCTTAAGATGTGCTGCATTTGTTTATGCTCTGGAATATTTGTTTAATGATGCAAAGATGTGTTGCATTTTTTATTTTGCATTAGCTCTTTTATTTGCTTAACTCTGTGAAGCTGTGACTCTGCCTGTCTAAAATACCTGATGGTCTAATAAAGAGCTGAACGACCAATAGTGAGGAAGGAAAAAGGATAGGCGGAAGGTAGGCAGAGAAAATAAATAGAAGGAGACATCTGGGAAAAGAAAAAGAAAAGATCCTTCTGGGCAGTGGTGGCACACACATTTAATCCCAGTACTCAGGAGAAAGAGCCAGGTGGATCTCTGTGAGTTCAAAGCTAGCCTGGTCTACAGAGAGGCACCAAACTACACAGAGAAACCTTGTCTTGAAAAACTAAAAGAAAAGAAAGGAGAGATAAAAGAAAGACCAAGGAGCAAAAAAGGAAAAATCAGTAAGAAAACAATGACAGGAAGATGCTAGAAGCCAGCTACCCAGCCAGCCACTGAGTAAGAGTGAAAGTAAGATTTACAGAAGTAAGGAGAGGAAAAAAGCCCTGAGGCAAAAGGTAGATATGATAATTTAAAGACAAGAAAAACTGGCAAGAAACAAGCCAAGCTAAGGCTAGGCATTTATAAGTAATAATAAGACTCCATGTGAGATTTATTTGGGAACTGAGTGATGGACCCCCCCAAATGAGCAAAAACAAATAACAACATAGTAGAATTGGATAGAACCTCAGGGTGGGTTTGAACTGCTGTGTAGCTAAGAATAACCATGACCTCCTGATCCCCTTGCCCTCATTTTCATGGTGCTAGGATTATAGGCATAACCCTCATACTTGGCTCTATTCTTCTCTTTTCTAGGAATGGATGGATATTTTCTGGGAATTAGATCACATTATGTTTTCATTCCTTTTATGGTTCTTTCCAGACATTATTATGTCAACTGTCTACTGCCGTGACAGTGGGAAGTAGATGTTATTTAGCAGACGTGGTATTATAATGAAATTAGAAATTACAGTAGCCATTTTAGCAGTCTATTAGAGTCTCTAGTTTGGGCCACCCAACATAAAGAGGGATTTCTGGTCAAGTATGGTAGCTCACACCCTAGCATTTAAGGGGTAGAAGCAAGGGAATCGGGAGTTCAAATAAGCCTCTGGTACATAACTAATTTGGGGCCATCCTGGGCTACATAAGACCTTGTCTAAAAAAAGACAAACAAACCAAATATAGACATTCTGTCCTCAAAGGCAAATAAGATCATGGCACAAGCTAAAATTGCAGCTAAGTTATCCGAACAACAAAAGATTGGAGCAGGGAAACAGAACAACTGATGGCCACTTGAGTTGTCTTAACTTAAAGAAAGCCTAAGCCTTTATATTCCCCATCACATTCAGTCATTAGAAATGGTTTCCACAGTGAAGATATGGCCTTGGGCAAAGGTGTTGTCTGCTCCCATGACAGGTCTGAAAACTCTGGCAACCGAGGATGCTGTTGACTACAGCCTTTCTCTTCATAGCAAGTCCCTAAAAAACAACTCCTAAGAAGAGATTGGTTCACATTGGTGAATTTCAGCCTCTTATCAGGGTCAGACATGCAGAGGCAGATGGTTACTCTTTCTTATGACCTCTGTGGAAGAACGCATTCTCTTAAGTGATGCTGACCACTACTCATGCTTTCACAGACAAGAGTCTCTCATTGGCTGTCAGTGAGAGGGCCTTAGGGCAATCAGAAACAGACATATAAGTAGAGAGAGTCAGAAAATTCACAACATTGGTACACAGTGGAACAAGTGGTTCTCAGCTCTTCTAAAGTGGTCTATGAACATGGTTCTGAAAGACTCTTCCAAGTTAGCGTGACTGGGGTCTGAGGAGGTGCTAGAGGGAGCCTTGCTGGGTCAGAATACCAAGGACTGAACTGAGGACAGGGATTGAAGAGGTGACTGAGAGGATGGGTGTTCACAGCAGCCAAGCTGGAGAAGGGACAGTGTGCTTTGATTGGGAAGAATAGCCTTTAATGTAAAACACCTACAGTCTACTACCTGCTGTGATAACAGCCTTTAGTTTCCTACCTGAGCTTAACTCCCTCTGCAACAAAAACTGACACCCCCTGCCAAAGCTTCACTTGTGTTGAAGATTCTAGACACTGATGAATTGATTAGAATTTATTGTGGAGAACTGGAATGTTATAGGGCCAAAATTATCTTGAGCTACCTTTAGTCCTTTTAATAGCCCTTTATCACCCATCTCTGTATCTTACCTAAGACTTCCTGTGACTATCAAGAAAAACTTTTGAAACATGCTCTCAACAGGAACTAGTACTCACCAACTCGAAAGCTAAGGCTGGCATCAGATAGGATCTAAAGCAATGCAGAGATTCCCTCCACTTTGCTGTAACATGCTTTCCAAACGTCCCTGGTGATGTATTTGGTAAGTGCACTGGCTTCTGACTTCTGACTTTTATTTGTTCTGTGATTAGCAAAAGCTCATGTGACCACTTACAGGTTTATTTAAAAAAAAAAAAGAAAGAAAGAAAGAAAACTTGATTGAATCTGTGTTTCTGGCCCATGGTCTCTTATATTTGCTCAAAGTAAATACTTTTATTCCCTTTGAAGCAAGAACTGTGTTTTCACTGACAACTTCATGCCAGTGTACTCTGACCCAGGTAACTAGCATAAAGGCTTATGCTAAGCATATCTGATAAGTCTGTGGTTTCTGCAGTTGTAACTAAAGGACCTTTACACTATAAAACTAGGGAACTAGATAGACACATAGCACCATTATTTTCTAGCATTAGATACCATGTAGTACATGACTATAGTCCTTGAGAAGAGCATAAGAAATGAGACAAGACCTACTGCTACCCCAGCTTACTGTTCAGGTCAGTGTCCATAGGTTAGAGCAGCTGTGAAGAATGCAGGCATCCCAGTGAACAGAGGAGACAAGGATTCAATTTTGAAGAGGCTGAGATGTCTGGAAATGGTAGAATACTAGAGAGGAGGGAACAATACCAAAAGGGAGATTCAAAGGCCTGTATAGGACTGCCTTGGACACTTTTTTGAGACCTTTATTGAGACAGGGTGTCATGTAGCCCAGGTTATCCTGAAACTCAGTATGTAGAAAAGGATGACTTTGAACATTTTATCCTTTCTCTTCATCCCAAGTGCTGTGATTATAGGTATGAGATACAACAAAATTAATAAAGAAGAGAATGCTGCATTATTGTGAGTGAGGGATGTGGTGTCTTAGGCTAGGTTAGTAGCAGTGAGGCAGTGAATGGTGAATAAAATCTAAGGTGGTAAAATAGACAGACTATGTTTATGTATTTGTTAAGAGTGCTGCCTATGTCTGTACACAGATCTTTCAACCACTTCTTGACGCCAAATCTTAGTGTGTCGATTAGCACAAAATTTTATATACAGCAAAAAATCCAACTGCAATGATAAAAACAAACATGGGTTTATCTGATTAGACCACAGTTGGTCAGTTACTCGAGGTTACCGTCACCTTAACAGGTTCTTGACTTCTTTCTGCTAAACTGTACTGTTAGCTTACTTTTCTCATCACTTCAAATAAATATCTCATAAAGATCATCTTCAGGATGAAGGATTCATTTCATTCATGTTTCACAGAGCGGGTGCATGGCATCTGGGTGCGCTCAGTGACAGTAGGAATTTGCCGCTTGATATGAACATTTCAACAGGTGAGGAAAGAAAGACTCAGAGGAAGCAGAGGTGTACTGCAACTTTCTAACCTTGTCCCTGTGGCCCTACATTGGACAGGTCTCTTGCCCAAAAGGTTCCACAGCATCCCCAAACAGCATCATTACTGGGGACCAAGTAAGCACACAAGGTTATGAACTTTCAAACCATCTAATGAACTTGCACAAACCATTTCTTTTCCCTTTTTTTTCTTGTGCCTTCTGGTTTCAAGCTTGCTACTGTACTTCCAGATGTAATGTCAATATCCCAGGACAGCAGAAACACCAAAGGGTCAAAAGGAGTCAGGCCAGTTAAATGTGTTCCTTTTTACTCAGAACACAAAAAATTTCCTGGAAACTACAGCCAGTAAAGTCCCCATTACATTACACTGCCAAATTTAGGAGAAAGGCATTAACATGTTCGGTTTAAAAAAAAGAAAAGAAAAACTACAGTATTCCAATAGAGTGTGGTGGTACACACCTTTAACCCCAGCACTCAGGAAGCAGATACAGGTGGATCTCTGTGAGCTGAAGCCCAGCCTGGTCTACATAGTGAGTTCTAGACCAGGCAGGGCTAGATAGTAAGATTCCTGCCTTGAAACAAACAAATAAAATATTAAAATTATAGTATCCCATTGATTCAAACTAAACTACACTAGACCCCAATAATGCAGTCTAAAAATAAAAGTGGAATCACTCATAATAAAATTCCAAAGGAAACTGGGATTTTTTTCCTGACCTTCTAAGAAATCAGTAGAGAAAGGCATGATGCTATAAACATGTTAATTTCCATTTGCACAGTACTGAAGTCCCTCACCTTAATCCTTACACAAAAAGACCACTGACATCACTACTAGTAGCACAATCAGTTATTTTGTTTGGTGACCCCATCTTATAAGGAAAGTAACTCTGAAATGGCCAACTTGGTGGGTTTTGTTCTGTTTCTGCTTTCTTATGCCTCTGACTATATAAAAGAAGTCTCTTCTACTCAGCCCTTTATATTTAATAAAATGAATTACTTCCAGATTCTAGAACTTAAAATAAAGCTAATTAAGACCTATCCACATAAACTATCAGCCATGCTTTAAAGGAAATAAGACTATTATCCTGAGCCGATATGAGTGACCATGGCCCAGGAATCACCATAAAGGTCAATGTTCTATTGTGAAAGAGATGATATGAATTATTATAATCACAGGACAAAATAAAGTCATGAATTCATTTATTTACAGAAATGTGTCAGAGGAGTCACAAGGTGGATGATTACAACTTGCAGGAATCTCTCCTGTCAGATTCAGGCATTTATATCATTCGTAGCTTTAGGGCTCTTGGAAGCTATATGTCTGTCAGGCTTGGCGATGCATTCCTTCCTTTTTCTTTTTATCGATACTTATCTCATACAATACAACAATATATCTCGACCACATCCTCCACTCCCTCCACTCTTCCCAGTTCCCCTATACACACCTCCCTTCTCTCCCAGATCCACTGCTCCTCTGTTCCCTTCAGAAAAGAGCAGGCCTCCCAGGGATCTCAACTGAACATGGCATAACAAGATGCAATAAGACTAGTCATAAACCCTTATGTCAAGGTTGGATGAGGCAACCCAGTAGGAGGAAAAGGGTCCCAAGAACAGGCAAAAGAGTCAGAGATGCCCCCCCTTCCCACTCCCGCTGTTAGGAGTCTCGCAAAATTCCCAAGCTAAATAACCATAATGTGTTTGCAGAGGATCTAGCACAGATCCAAGCAGGCCCTGTGATTGTAGGCCAGATATAGTGATCAATAGTTAAATGGCAGTTAAAGGGCACTGAAGCTGTGGTAGGCAAGACTGTAAAAGCCAGAGGCAGTGAACTACAAGGAAATAGTGTTTTCCAGGTACAACAGGGCAATTTCATATATGAGTTCACAGCAGTTGGGACAGCATGCACAAGACCCTTAAAAATGCAAGATCAAGCAGGTCCTACCATAGCATGGAGAGTAATAAGCAATTTCTACCATTGATCTCCCTTACGAATCTGTTACAAAGTATGTCCTTCTCACCATAGGTTCACAGATATGTTGGCATCTGTGTAACTGTCCTGATACTTTGAATCACATATGCCCAAAATGCCACTAAGGGGCTGCATGCATACATCCCAGGACAGCTATGAATGTGGCCCAACACATTTGTAGATTATGATATCACATGGCAATGTAAAAAAGTTAGACGTCCCAGTAAAGAGACACTTGTGCCCCTCCCTTTGGCTATCACACTATTAGAACAATAGACCCCAAGGAACTGGAATTTCCCCAGGAACTTTTTTGTTTCAAGAAGGAAAACACTAAAACCCTGGTGTCAGCCAGAAAAAGAATTTGTTTCCAGGAAAACATTTCACATGTTCTGTATTTTACCAGACTGCCTCATAGGAGAGATTGGAGCTGAGAAACAATGATGGGTCAATAAGGGGTGGGACAAAACTCAAATCGGGTTTGCTTAGCTATGCATGTCTCTGACCTTCTAGCTAAACCTGAAGATGGACGTGGAAGTAGGGAGACAGTCACCAGACTTCTTTGTTCCTTTTCCATGTCCACATTGAATAAATGTTCTTTTTCTACTTTCACTATTACTTCCTGTTCTCTTTGATTCGCCCATTTAGGGAAGGTGGCTCAAGCTAGGTTGTGAGGGCTGCCAGGACCCATGATCATACTCTAAAGTCTCCAATAACGCTGTAGGTCTGGAAGACTTCATAAATAAGCTGATAGAAAGACTTTGGGAGGACATGGAGAGGAGCACCATTTCAAGTTATAAAGCCATGGCCTATGAAAAGAACAGTCCACTGCCCCTACTCCTCATTGATCTATGTAGAAGATGGTAGGCCAGTTTGGTGATCCAGGAAACAAGGGAAGTACAAAGTGAATAATGTGCAAGAGGAAAAACAGTGTGCATTTTAAAGCTGAAAGCAGAAACCCATGTGTGTGTGTGTGTGTGTGTGTGTGTGTGTGTGTGTGTGTGTGTGTGTGTGTGTGTGTTTGGAAAAACATTTGCATGGTCATTAAATCTGAAATGATCATGTATCAAGATCTGGTCTTGAGAAAAGAAAAAAAAAGACAAACACAGTCAAAATTTTAAGTTTAGTTTGAAAACAGCCAAGGAGGAAGGATAAAGGGATCCTGGGAACTAGGAAAATGACAGAAATTAAAATGAGAATGTTATGTCACCCTCATAGTCAAGGGACATTACGTGCTTCCCATTTCACAGGGAAGAAGTTTCCTGAGACGCTTTCAAATGGCAGACCAGGATTGAACATCAGGAATTCTTGACCTAATGCTTGGTGCTTTTGCTTCCTTCTGCTGCAGCTTGGCCTCCCCTCCACCCCCAGTCAGCACAGGGTTTGAAGACAACATGGGAGGAGGCAGCTGGTTGTTCATTTACACTCCCTCCCCACTCCCCATCTCTGTCTTCAGAAAGACTCAAGTGAGAACTTATCTGTCTCACAAACTGTTCCATCAGATGCAGCGACAGGAAGTCTCACAAAGACCCCGAGGAGCCGACAGCTTCCTCTGGTTAGTGTTGTGGTGAACATTCCACCTCCTTCTCTAAAGCAAGCTGCTAAACATCCTTGGCCCCACTTGGTGTCCAGCCACCTGCAACAAGTCTCTAGTTTCTTGATAAAAGGAAACTGGTAACTAGGTCCCATAGAAAAGGTAGTAATTTGCATTTGGTTTCCTC